ATTCCCTTCTGGGGAACCATTGTTGCCAATCTCCAGGTGAGGGCTGGAGATCACTCAAAATTACAACTGTTCTTTAGGTAGCAGAGATCAGTTCCTCTGGAGAAAATGGTGGACTCAGTGTCATTTTACCCTGCTGAGGTCGCCACAGCAAATTGACACTGAGTGTCCAAGGCCGGGGCACCCGCCCAGAGCCTCTTTCTACAGACTGTTGTATTCATTTCCACAACGGACCTTTTTCCTAGTGTTGAAAAGGTGGACTTTTGTTTTGTCTAGACCAGGTCTGAGTGGCAAGAGAAGGCTGAAGTGTTTCAGAATGATTTTTCTCTGTTGTCTCTTTTGTGAGAAAAGCAGGGTCCAAAAATAGTTAATAAATATGAATTAATAAAGCTTTCAGTGGTGCTGTTCAGATTACTGAGGTGATTTTAATATTTTTTAAAATCCTTTCAAATTTGCTTAAATATTAAATGGTGAAATGCAGTGGCACTGGAATAGCTGCTATCTCTTCGTAAGCAAAACAAAGAGAGCACGGGATGGAAGTTTGGAAAGAAGTAAACATCCATGATGTATTATGCCAAAAAAGTCTCCAAAGACCAGAAATTTCTTTTTCCAATATTTCAATTTACTGGAAGAAATTCAAACGCCATTAACACAATGGATCATGCATATTATCTCGTTTCGTGTATAACTTTTTCAAGGTGAATAGTGTTGAAATACAATATTAATCCATTTGACAAACTCTAGTAGTATCTCATAGTGACACTAATGGTTTTGATGAGTGTCACTATGATATACTACTAGAGAGTTTGTCAAATGGATTAATATTGTATTTCAACACTATTCACCTTGAAAAAGTTATACACGAAATGAGATAATATGCATGATCCGTTGTGTTGATGGCATTTGAATTTCTTCCAGTAAATTGAAATATTGGAAAAAGAAATTTCTGGTCTTTGGAGACTTTTTTTGCATAATACATCACGGTTGTTTACTTCTTTCCAAATCTCTTGCTAAGCGACAGATACGAAGGAGCAACAGCAATAGCCAACTGTCCATGTATTTTATTTATTCTGAATGTTGAGTTCACCCTTCAGGGGCCTCCAGGAGGTTTGCCAGTGAGCTAAAATACAAAAACCGCACAAACCAAATGTGTTGGCCGTCAAATGAGAAAAGCCATTACATGTCAGAAATTGGTGCCTGCCTTCAGCTGTCAAAAACCAAAACCTGAAATCGAGAATGTTTTGACTGTCAAATACAGATGTTGGCAGATATTAGAATATTCTAGATAGCATAAAAATCAAGATGTGGACACTTTGTACCTTGCACTAAATTGTACAGTGGATTGATTCAAGAAACCCGTGAAGAAGGCAAGTCCTCTGTTAGCAGGCTGCTCTGCCAAAGTCCACAGAGAATGTAATTAGATTCTCCTGCATTCCAAAATGCATGATTATTATTACAAGAAATCTTTCTCTCCCAGCACAAAGTGTTCTGCTGTCCTTCATCCTTTCAATTCCCCTCAAAAACAATGTTGCAAATAGATCCAGGGCAAAGCAAATTATGGGGACGTGGGGGGAACCATCTTGCAAAAAACGGAAAAAAATGAAGAAAGAGGAGGCATAAATAGTTGAGGTGTGTTAAACTGTAGGAGGGATCATTGGGAAGTTATAAGACAGGAATTTATAACGGCATGTGAGATGAACAGAGCAAATATGGAAATTTCCGTTGCAAGGTGCTAAAATTCAGGGTCATTTAGTAGTAACTGGTTTAAAAGCAGAATAAACTTGTTCACACAACACGCAAGTAACCTTTGGCACTCCTTGCTGCAAGATGTTTGGACAAGGAACTTTTTTTATTGACAAAAACTTTTCTGGAGAGTAGCCATCTTGGTCTGCAATACAGGAGCTAGGTTTGAGTCCTGTAGCTCTTTAGAGACCAAGATTTTTTTTAGGTTTTCATCTGTTGAGAATCAAAGCTGCTTTCATCAGATGCAAATCGGAGATCCCTGAGTCCTTGTATCCCAGTCAGGCGGTTTGAGAGGTGTTGCAAAGAAGAGACGCAGGATACAGAGACAGTGCAAAAACAATCCAGCCCAATTTGAGCTGGGGAGGAAAGCATTTAGGGGGCAGAAAATTAGCATCTGTAGTGAGATAAGAATCCTTTGTCTATTCAGCCCCCCTCTGGGCGGGGTCCATTGTTCTGAATTGTCTATTTCTACTTCACAGACTATGGTGCATACAGAGACTGTTAACAAAGAACAATGGAGAACCCTGAATAACTGGCCAAAAATCAGTCTGTCTACCAAGCTGCTGTGGCTTAGGAACCATGAGAATGAATTGCGATTTAGGGAGTTTTGATTTTGTATTTTTGCCTCTACTATGAACTCGCTATATGGGCTGAAGCAAACCTCTCCCACCCACCCAGAGCTGTAGTACAAGGGGAATAATACACAGCTGCCTACCTCAAAGGGTTATCACAAGTTTGCATATATATGAAGCAGTTTGAAGACTTGGGGGAAGTTTGATTTCTGTAGGCTATTTGGAGGATCACAGCAAGATAAGGTGTGTAAAGTATATGCTGTATAAATGCTAACTTACCTCACAGGGTTGTTGTGAAGATAAAATGGAGGAAATACACCACACAGAGCTCCTCAGAGGACACTGGGATAATAATGTATCAAATAAAGACTTTTTCACTGTATAAGAACATAAGAGAAGCCAATGTTGGATCAGGCTAATGGCCCATCCAGTCCAACACTCTGTCACACAGTGGCCAAAAATACCAGGTGCCATCAGGAGGTCCAGCAGTGGGGCCAGGACACTAGAAGCCCTCCCACTGTTGCCCCCTCCCCACAAGCACCAAGAATACAGAGCATCACTCGCCCCAGCCTGAGAGTTCCTATCTATACCTTCTGGCTAATAGCCACTGGTTGCTCCACTGGTTCTAGTGAAAAGGGTTTCATAGAGAAATACTTTGTAGGACAGAGGAGTAAAACAGGAAATAATTCCCTATTGGCGTCATGTTCCTTTAAATGAAATGTCATGTCATGTCATGTGACTCAGTGATGTCAAATATCTCTGAGGTCATAATATTTCATTGTCTACTATCCAAACCGTCCCAACTGAGTTTTCATCTCTGGCAGCACATTTTTTAAAAAATTGCAGATGGAGTGTCTGCACACCCATTGTAAATATGCTTGGACTGAAAATCCTGACAGAATGCGTCCCATCAGGCCAATCCGGGTATAGTGCAAGTATGAATTCAATGTTTGCTTTTTTCCCTAGCCAGTTTCACCATGACGGCTCCCAACTAGAGATGTACAATTTCTGGAAATTTTGGAGCCATGGGGGGGGGGGAACATTTTCCCCCTGGAAAAAAATAGAAATTTGGGAGGAAATTGAGATATATGCAATATTTACTCTCCTATCAAACCTAAATTAATTTTACTGCTTTAACAACATAAAATGCATCATTTACACCTTACGTTAACATATAAAATTGCAATATTGCACATACTTATGGAATTTAAAAGTTATAAATGCCTTAGTTATAAATATGCAGTACTTGAGAGAAAACTGCAAGCTGATGCACCCTATGCTATCTTTTTTTAAAATATAATTTTTATTAATTTTTTGCATAGAAACAATCAAAAAGAAAGTCAGACATTTTGTAATAACACCCTATGCGATCTTAGCACATGTGCCTTAATTTTTGCTGTCTGGTTAGAGAGAGCTCAGTTCTCCCTCTGAGGCGGAGGACATCTATGGGTGTTACCACCGTCCAATAGGGAGGCAGGAACTAAAACTCTTCCTGTCTGGCGTGTGGGACACCCCCTATCTTCAGTTCTGTTCCTGCCTCAGAGGGAGAGCAGTTCTATTGCAGGCTTTGCCTACTTTAATTACCTCAAATCTTCAAAATATACCTTCTTCCTATCTTCCTTCCTACTTTCTCTGATCTTATACCTTTTACTTCCCCCCCCCCTTCTGCCCTTGGGAGACCCTTATTTAATAGCCAGCGCCGCGGCGACGGCACTTTGATCTCCCGGGCGCCCCTTTCTGTGTAGAAAGAGAGACTCTCTCCTCATGGAGAACAAGAACCAAGACGAATTTCTGGACACTGAAGACTGCGTGGTGGCTGCTGCACTTATTGGATCGCCCGGGGAGGGTACCGGCACCAGCATGCCTCTACAGCTTGGACGTGCTGCCGGCACCGCGTCAGCCTTAGTGCCGCAGAAGAACGGCAAGAAGTCTCACACTTCGGAGCAGCGGCCTGACGACGGCTCGGCCACCTATGGGCCAGGCGCCAGTAATCCCCCCACAGTGCGATTTCAGCGGGAAACCAGGCTGGGAGTCTCCTCAGCTCTGGAGTGGCCTTTCAACACGACATTGACAACCCCCTGCCGGGAGATTTTGCTGCAGGCTGTTTGCTTCGCGTTCAGGCTCTGCCTGCCCCAGCTGGTTCTCTTCTGATTGGTAACGTACAAACGCATATTAACGCGCCTGTTGACTTGCTGGGGCTAATGCGGCAAGCGGTCAGGGATGAAATGTTCACCCTTAGTCGCCCTCCTGCCTTTACTCCCATGAGACCTGGCTCTGAATCCTCCTCCCCTCCCCCCTCGCCTAGAAGGGCTCCTACTTTTATGTCTCATGCCAAACATTGGCCAACTAAGGCTGCCCAGAAATGACCTCTAGAAAGGAGTGGTGATGCAGACCCAAACTGGGGGAGGGGGAGCTTCCTATTGATCCTTAGTCAGAGCTCAGGGAAGACAGAGAATTCCTCTCTGATGAGGAAGAAGAGGAGATATTTGTGCCAGAGCCATCCACCCGCCTCTTTAAGACGGAGGATTACCAGTACTTATTTTCAAAAACAGTGACTGCCCTCCAGCTTCATGATAGCCCTACTGGGGACACACAAACTAGATCCAGGTTGTCTAAGTCCAGTACGGAAGGCATGCAAGAATTCTTTCCCAAACATGCTTCCACGCCCAATGTTCACCCTCTCCCATAGTATTTTGAGAGACAAATGCGGGCAGAATGGGCTAAGCCAATGGCCAACCGCCAGTTTCCTCAAATTGTTAAGAGACTGTATGCTATGCCTGATTTTGTACATGAGATGTTACAGGTGCCAGCAGTGGATGCTCCAGTATCAGCCCTACAGTATTTGGGCCTCCTCTCAGAGGATGGCCAAGGCTCCGTCAGAGACAACTTTGATAAGAAGGGAGAGGCGACTTTACGGAAGGTGCATGAGGCCTTAGCCATGCGGGCTTCAGCCATTTCTTCCATCGTCTCGAGGGCTTCCATTGTATGGATGCGAAAGATGATACAACTTCTACCAGAAAATAACAAACGTCTTCTGGAAGGGGCCTCCAGAGTTCTCAAAGCTACTATGTTCACGGCTGATGCATCCTTGGATGTTCTCACCTTCAACTCTAGAGCGATGGCCTCGGCAGCGGTGGCAAGGCGACTATTCTGGCTCAGGGCCTGGCCAGCGGACCTTCATTCTAAAAATATTGTTTTGGCCTACCCATTCCAGGGTGAGAAACTTTTTGGAGACGCATTAGAAAAAATCCTAATCGAGACAAGGGATAAAAAGAAAGCAATGCCCAAAACTCTTCGACGTTCCGACAGACGTTACACTGGTCCTTTTTGTGCCCAACATACGTTGGCCAGACCAAGACAGGATGCGAAACGATCCTCCTGGGGACAGGCGAGACAACCCTTCAGAAAGGGACCGTTTCCCCCAAGACCCAACAACAGATCCTCGTCCTTTTGATTTGACCGATCCGGAGCAGATGCCAAGCCTTCCAAGGACTGACTACCTGGATGCTCCGGTGGGCGGCCGTCTCCTCCTTTTTTCAGAAGCGTGGTCAACTGCTTGAGCAGACACCTGGTCCTTAGATGTTATACTTCAAGGATATTCCATCAAATTCGAAAGTTACCCACTAGAACGTTTCCTGATTTCGCCTGTTCGCCAAAATCGTCAAAAGATATCACACAGAATGCAATCCAACAATATAAAAAAAGAAGAAAAAGGGGGAAAAAAGAATGCAATCCAACATCTGATAGACATCAGAGCAGTGGAACCGGTGCCCATTCCACAACGGGGCAGGGGAGTGTACTCTATAAGAACAGAGATTGGAGGTCGATCCTGGATCTCAAATACCTCAACCGGTTCATCAAGCTTTGTCATTTCAGGATGGAGACTCTGAGGTCCGTCACGGAAGCCATTCAACCAAGTGAGTTTCTAACCTCGATAGACTTGACAGAAGCGTACATTCATGTGCCCATCCTCCACTCCCACCACTAGTACCTACGTTTCTGCGTGGGGACACAACATTTTCAATTCCGAGCCCTCCCATTCAGACTCTCTACGGCCCTGCGGGTATTTACGAAGATCCTGGTCAACCTCGTAGTGAACCTCAGAGAACAGGGAGTACACATCCACTCGTACTTGGATGATATTCTCGTACATCTATGTACGACTTATGCTCAATACTGGAAACAAGATAAAATACCAGAAAAATGGGAATGGATTAAAAAGGTTTTGTTTATGGCTGAAATGGACAAAATGACAAGAAAGCTAAACAATCAAGAAGATGAAGATTTCTTTGAAGAATGGAAAGATTTTAAAGAATATTTGGTGACCAGTTGGGATGTTACAAACAATTTATTGTGTTTTGAAGAATATTAGAAATGAAATAATATATGATTAAATGGAATTTAAGGTTACCGGATGATAGGATATAGAATAAAATAAGTAATAAGTAAAATTTCTTAAGAAAGTGAATAGTAGAAAATGTAATGGAAAATTTTAAGATTAGAATGTTTAACAGGATAGAAGCATTGCGGGAAGCCAAGTATGGGGGTGAGTAGGGGAAGGCATTTAAAAAATGGGATATGTGAACCATGTGATAAAATGTGTAAATGTGTCAGCAAGCTGCCAAAGAACTCTGTGTAACCTTTGTACACCCATCTCTGCTCTTCTTGGCTTTCCCTGACCCCACTGCGCATGTATGCTACCAGCAGCCTGCAATCTGCATTCCTTTCTGTGTACGCTAATACTGCTGTTGAAACGTAGTTATCGGCAAGGTCAACAGGTGTGGAGTTGGAGTTGTGTCTTCGCGTATGGTATAATGAGCTAGGGCATGAGAAGCCTGGTAATTGTTTATCTTTTAGAACCGTTTCAATTCCCAGGCTTTCGGCGCGAGTTTTAGAAGCACCCGTGAAAGTGGGAACCATGATGATTGGTTATTGCATTTTATGAATTCGTTTATTATTTGGTGCCCTGCATTTCCTGACCATTCCAAACAGTTCCTGTGTGCCAGCTTTCTTCATTACTTCAATAAATACTACTTTACTATACACGTGTATTCGATTGAACGTGTGGAGGATTCGGACAAAATGTTTAAAATGGATTGCATTATCCTGACAATAAAAAGCTTTTAAACAAAAAAAAGAAGAAGCAGAAGACAGCCAGTTCCACTGCGGGCCTGATAGAAGCCCTCCAGGGGCCTGATCCAACCCCAGGGCCACATGTTTGACACCCCTGCTCTAGAAGTTTCGGAGGGCTCAACCCCTTCCCCACATAGGTCAGCTCGTTCCCGCAGAGCCAACACATGACAAGGCAGAACAAGCTCTCCTTCCCTCAGTCTTTCTTTGCCCATCACATGTCAGCCGGGTTGGAAGCAGCCAGCCCCGTGAGGATAGGGGGCTGAGCGCTCTGAACCTTCTAGAGAGCTTTAGAGGAGATCTCTGTCCCATGTGTGCCTGCACAGAAGACCACTCGATGAACAACAGTTACAGGTAAGTGCAATTTACAACTAAGGGCAGCCCTGTTTGTCTACCACACACCTACCTTGTCTTTGAAAGCATTTAACTCATTCAAAAAGAGAAAATATTTCACAGGATTTTTTTTTCTCAGTACTTCCCAAAATGTCCAATTTTTCTCCTAGGAAAATGGGGGAAAGGCCTAGAGAAAATGGGGTCGGGCGTGGGGCATTCCCTCCCCCCATTTTTCCAGTTCCCCCCCAGGCCTTCAGATCTCTACTCCCAGCCAAAGAATCCTGGGGACAAAGACCTTACTCCAAAATAAATACATAAGTCCACAGTTATTCGGATACAGAGTTGAATCTGTTTGAAACCATTCTTTTCTACAACGTAGTTTATCATTTGCTGCGCTATTGAGCACATGGACTCTGTAGACCTGCCACCAGGTGGCACCACTGTGCAGTATGCCAGACATATTTGCTTAGCCCAGAGGTGGCCCAGGCAGTGGTTATTCAGCTTCTACGCGCTTTCCTTTCAGCCCTCAAGCTGCTGGAAATTTCTTCAGGAGCGCTGGTCCACAGGACTGCAGCATTGGCTAGTAGGCAGATGCTCCTACAGAAGGCCATTGAAAGTAGGAGGATGGACGCATCTGGTTCACTAGTTTATGAACCCTCTAGTCCTCAAAAGCGGGGTGACTCTAGGGTTGCCATACTCAAGGTGGGGCCTGGACTTCTGAAATTGCAACTGATCTCCAGGCTACAGAGATCAGTTCCCCTGGAGAAAATGGCAACTTTGGAGAGTAAACTCGTTCGCATTATACCCCCCTGAAGTCCCTCAGTCTTCAGGAATTTCCCAACTTGGATTTGTTAACCTTAGAGAGTCTCTCTCAGATGTGGCTCTCAGATTGGGGGGGGAAAAAACCTAATTTAAACCTAGGTCTGCCTGTATAACATATAGAGCAGAAGACAGATCCAGGTGGTCAGCTGTGTTGGTCTGAAGCAGTAGAACAAAGTTAGAGTCCAATGGCACCTATAAGACCAACAAAGTTTTATTCAAGGCAGGGGTCATTTCCTGCAGGAGCTGCACAGGAGTGGAGCTCCGGCAGTAAAGAGCCCAGGGGGCGGGCACATGCAACAAGCCCCACCCCCTGCTCCCAGCAGCCCTCAGTCAGAGCAAGAAGCAGCCAGGTAAGTTGCAGAGCCCCCCCCCGGCCCCCCGGTCCAAAACAGTTCCGTGGCACCTTTAAGACCAAGTTTTATTCAGGTACAAGCTCTCCCTCCTCTGCGAGGACAGATCTGCACGTCCCCCCCCCCCAATCGCTAGCAATCCAAAACAGTCCAGTGGAGCCTGAACAGTGGGTGTTGCCTTCTGACACACTTCCGGTGATGTCAGGGGGTGGTCCATATGCAAATAAGTTATGCTAATGAGTTTTGCTAATGAGCTCATAGAATCCACTCTCCAAAGGAGCCGTTTCCCCCCATGGCAAGTCAGCTCTGTGGTCTGGAGCTCGGTTTTAATTCTGGGAGATCTCCCGGCCCTACATGGAGGCTGGCAACCCTAACCCCACTTATGGTACCCAAACCCAGGGCTATTTTTGGGCAGGAACGCACAGGAATGGAGTTCCGGATGGCTCCCGAGTTGGCCACGCCCAGCAGGAACTCATTAGCATAATAGGCCACACCCAACAGCAGGAACTCATTAGGATTGGCTACATTAGGGGTGTGTGGCCTAACATGCAAAGGAGTCCCTGCTACAAAAAAAGGCCCTGGGTTTTGACAACAAACAAGGTAAACAGAATAACAAGCAAAAGGTGGGTGTGGCTGGATAAAAAAAAACAGCGGCGAGACACGACAAGCCAAGGGAAGTAATGGGGTGTGGCCTAATATGCTAATGAGCTGTACTGTCAGGGGTGTGGCTTAATATACTAATGAGTTCCTGCTGGGCTTTTTCTACAAAAAAAGCCCTGCCCAAACCAATTTGAAAACAAATCATTTATGTGGAGATTCCCTCTGGGGAGAAGGGAGAGGCTAGCCTCCCCCACTTGTAAGTTGCTTTCGTTCTTCGGATCCGACCACTTACTTATTTGCTACATAACTGGTGGAGACCTGAGTGAAGAACAGTCTGCTTCTGTCACCACATCTGAAGATGGAACAGTACAGCAGGCAGCTACAGGGAAAGGACAGAGACTGACATAGGGAATGGTGGTGTCACTCTTTTCCCTCAGCCTGTTTTCTGGCTAAAATTGCTACCCTCCTTTATGGACACTCCCTCCCATATAAGTAGCTTGATTTTGGGCGGGAAAACAAGGGGACAGAGGTAAAAAAAAAAATTAAATAATTGCTCTCCACACACACACACAAGCTCCAGGTGGGGTGTGGAGATCTTCCCACTTGGGAAATTCCTGGAAATTTGGGACAGAGCCCGGGAAGAGTGGGGTTTGGGGAGGGGGGAGAACCTCAGCAGGCCATAATCTATAGAGTCCACCCTCCAAAGCAGCCAGTTTCTCCAGGGCAACCGATCTCTGTCATCTGGAGATAAATATATAGATAAGGCTTTCTAGAGAAGGATGTATAAAAGCACTGTTTCATTTATTTTTGGTTGTGTGTGCTGTCATTTCATGTGTTATCGCTTTGTCCAACTTAATTGCCGGTGTTTCTGATTCATCTCTGTCTTTTTTTAAACAATTTTTTATTAGGATATAATAATAAGTAAAATTTTACGTCATATAACAAACTTTTCATATCCTTTTATCCAATTATCTCCCCCCCTTCTGACTTCCCACAGTGCTCGAACCTCTATTACATTCTTGAATTTTTTCTCTTTTTCCAATTCTTTAACAACATATTTCTTTCAGGTAATGTATCTTTTTATCTGTCTGTCTATGCATGTTTAAATTTAATCTAAATGTCTATCCAACCTTAGTAATTGTCAAAGCAAAATAAATTGTTTTTTACATCCCAGTATTTCTCCAAGTAGTCTTTAAAGTCTTTCCAATCTGCAAAAAAATCTTCTGCTTCTTGATTTTTCAGCTTTCTCGTCATTTTGTCCATCTCAACCATAAAAAGTAACTTTTTCAACCATTTCCAGATATCAGGAGTTCTTTCTTGCTTCCAACACTGAGCGTATATCATTCTGGCAGTTTTAACCAGATACCACATTAAAGTCCGTTTTGCTATGATTCATCTCTGTCTTCGAGCCACCTTTGCACTATTTATATGACATTCACATACTAAAATAGCACACGTGCACATGCCGAAAACATATCAGTGTTAACAGGGAAACACCTGACATGAGGAAATAGAAAATGGCACAAAAGTAATGATTAACACAAGGGGGAAACAAAACAGAGACAGGGATTTTTCAAGTCGGATTGGTAGGGTTGGGAAACTGGGTCGCAACCTCGGATACAAAGTACATGGCAGTATGTCAGCTATGCTGCCATGGGGGTTGGGGAGTTCATTCTGTGTCTTGTTAATTGTTATTGCATTCCTATCCCTGCTGTTCTGCCTTTGCTGAAACGCTTATCTCTATAAATGTGCAGGAGGAGGTTGTGTTGTCTGGAGGGCTCCTATGTACCGTGAGAGACTCCTGGCTCTCAGCTTTAGCCACCTAACGGTTGCCTGACTTATCCCGCGCGTGGAAGGGTCCCTAATTGGCCAATGTCATGGGGGGGGGTGCATACGAATACCCTATATCCTATTATGCTCTAGTGGCTGTGGCCATACCTAACAGTGCCTGTGTTACTGCATCTATAGCTTTGCAATAAAAGTATAACCGTTCCTGAATGCGTGTACTTCGTTGTTAGCTGTGGGTTCTGACAGGCAGCGCTGTCCATTTGCTCCTCCATTCTCACTATGCAGAACTTGAAGCCAGTCTTGCTGAAACCCATAATTCTGTTCCCTATCTGGGTTGCCTACCCTTCAGGTTTGCCAGATCAGGGTTCAGAAATACCTGGAGATTTTGGGGGTGGAGCCTAAGGAGGACAGGGTTTGGGTTTGGGGAGGGACATGAGTGGGGTATAAAGCCATAGAGTCCACTTTCCAAAGTCTCGGTTTTCTCCAGGGGAGCTGATCTCTGTCACCCGGCAATCAACTATAGTCTCAGGAGATCACTTACCACCTGGAGGCTGGTAATCCCACCGCTCTTAGATGCATTTGTGGCCTACAAAGTTCTGTCCCCACAAAATGTTTGGGGACACAACTTGCCCAAGCTGCAGCTCGCAGGAAAGCTTAACTGTGGGTCCCGTCTCTCTCTCGCCAGCTGCCTCCGCCAGTGCCCATGATCCCAGTGGCACAAAGACCCCTTTCTCAGCAGGACTGGTTCCATGGCTCCCTCACCCGGCAAGAGACGCAGGCCCTGCTGTCCAGCGAAGGAGACTTCTTGGTGAGGGAGAGCCAAGGCCAGCCTGGAGGATACGTCCTGACGGTGATGAGCGGAGGACAGTGCAAGCATTTTATCATCCAGTGCCTGAAGGTAAGAAGAGCTTGAAGTGCTGCTTTTGACCTGAAGTTCCAGTGTTCCAAGTCAGCATGCAGTGTTTGGTAGTAACCAAAATGTTATGTGCTGAGCCTAAGCCACTCCTGAATGTGGACCTTGACCTGGGTGAGCTTGCTCCCCAAGAACAATAGCTGACTAGGATCCTGGAATTGACCTATAGATAAGCAGCGTAATGTAAATAGCCTATCCTTGGGAGTGGTGTGGGGTGTTTGCATGCTTTATAAGCAGGGCTCAAACCCTGCTGAGTGTCCTTGTTCTGTTCCTGAAATCACTAAATAAACTAGAGCTGATCACTGCAATGCGTCCAGAACGCAGTATTTAACACAAAATAAGGCCAAAACCATCTGGGACGAAGAGAAGGCATTCAGTGTGAAATATGTGTCTTCTCCACAGGCCGATTGGAATAATTAAGCCAGGCCTATTTCTCTCAGTCCAACATTGAGAGGGTCTCTAATTCTTTTCACTTGCTGTTTTTTATAAGAGGGGGCAAAGTATTGTTTACCCCAAAGGGTTGGAAACCCAGTAAATGAAAACAAACTATTGGTTAGATTTACAAACTGATCAGATTGTTGGCTTGTAAGCCTGTTAAAAATATGCCAATAGCGTCCTTCAAACTTTTCTGTTCTAGTTTGGCTTCTCAAGTGACCAAGGCCTGGTTGGGAGATCCCTGTGGCCAAGCCCCAACCTCCAACCATCAGGAAACTAAGGAGTGGAAGAAAAAATGGCCTCCATAGTGACACTCTAGAAATTTTCCCTAGTCTCTATGGACTTTACCATAGAAATTAGAGGAAATTCCTAGAGTGTCACCTGGAATTGCCATCATGTCCTCCTCAGGAGGAGGCAGAAAATTTCCATTCTGTCATTTGAAAATGTAGTTTGATTCCAACCCATTGTCTGAAAGGTAAATCCTGGTTTCGCAAACGAACCAAAATAAATACAGTTTAACAGTATGTCTAAATTGAGTTCCTGTCACATGTGCTTATAGTGGACCCATAAACTCAAGGGAGTACCTTCCTTCTTCTATCACCAAGGTGTTGTTTTCTCCATAAATGTCTGGAGGTCTTAAAAGGCAGGTCTCAGTGTACCTTTGAGATCTTCCTGAGATTGGAATGTACCTCTTAATTAATGACCCGTACTAGGCCCTAGACAAAGTTTTTTAGGGTCATCAGCCCCCTTCTGCAAGCATCAGCAGGAGAGAGAAAAATAAAAGGGAAAACTGGAAATGACATCAGTCCTCTCTAGGAATCACCCCAAACTCAACTGTTTTACCATACAGTTTCAGCCAATTCCTAGAGATGTGTGATATCACTTCCAGGAAAACCATCAGCTGACAGCCACAACATCGGCTAACAGCCACCCTCCCATGTCCTCACCACCGTCGCCAGTCTCTTGCTGGTTGCCTACCAGGACAGACCTGACAACCCTTATATCTGTGCTTTTCCTCACACCATCCAGACCTTACCCAAATATCATATGAAAGCAAATCACATTATTTGCCTGGGTTTGTGGGATGGCTTCAAGGCAACCTGGGTCTCCAAAATTTTGTTTCTTTATCCTCCCCTCTCCCTCCTTGGCAGCCCTGGGATCATTTCTTATCGGATGCATCTTTATCTCGTTCCTCCCTTCTGTAGCTCTCCCTGCTCCTCTCCATAACATAAACATCTCCCTGGTACCAGGGCCAACTTATCCATTAGGCACTGTAGGCACAGTGCCTAGGGCCCATGATCCTTTTAGGGACCCACAAAAATGTTTTCGTTTCTTTTAAAATGGGGGAGGGGGGATGAACTTGTGGGGTCGAAGAAAATGTTTTAATTTTTTCCCCCTCACATCAGGGGGGGGAAAGAAATTTTAGGGCTCACAAAAATTGATTAAATTTAGCCCCAAACAGAAAAAAAGTTGAAGTATTTTAAAAAGTTATATTGCTGTAATCTATATCTCCCTGTTATGGTTATGTTTTATCGAGCTATGTGCATTGTAAAAAAGTATTAAAAAAATTAATTTTTTTTTAAAATATTGATATTATTATGGTGGGAGGGGCCCACAAAGGCAAAAGTGCCTAGGGCTCATGAAAGGCATAACGGGGCCCTGCCTGGTACCACTAACAGTTTACACCATCCATCAGGAGACTGTTGATTTCTCCAAAGCTGTCTCATAATTCACCTTTGCTTGTTTTTCTTCTGTTTTGCTGGTTCATTTGGCCTTTCTTTTCAATAACACTGCCAGATGGCTCCGCTCTGGATTGGGCCCAGATCTTGAAGCGTCTTCAGTAAGCAGTGCACTGTCCTGGCCTCTCTACTCTCCGTTTCCAATCATGCGCATTCTTCTCTGCAGGGCAGATACTGTTTTGAGCCAGCTGGCCCCAGTTTCTCCAGCATCCCTCAACTGATTCGCCACCACTTGAAAACATACCAGAGGCTCACGGTGAGATCCCCTGCAGTTTTGCGCACTCCTGTTGTACGGGTAAGTCAGAAGAGTCTCTTAATTCAAAGGAAATAATTCAGAGTGTCAGGTGTCTGTGATTGTTAGAGTTGCCACTTTCCCACTACCCGCAGGGGAATGCCCCCCCGACACTCCCCCATCTCCTGCCAGCACTCACTGGGGAAGCATAGGGAAACTGAGGGGGCAAAACAGTGATTTCCTGATGCTGTGATGTCACTTCTGGTAACATAGCCAGAAGTGCTGTCACCACGTTATGCGACACTAATATTCATCCAGAGTTCTATGGTAAAAGAAGTTACCAGAAGTGACGTCATGGCATCAGAAGACTGCCATTTTACCATAGAGTTCTGGGTGAATGCTACAGCATCCTGTGATGTGGTGATGTCACTTCTGGCCATATAGCCGGAAGTGATGTTGGAAGATTACTGTTACGGTAAATTCCACCCCCTTGCCTGGCTACCAGGAGTTGCCAAGTGCTGGCACATCCTAGTCAGACTTCAGACCAGTTTCCATTTTTCATTTATTTGATTTTATGAAAATGGTTTTGTCTCAGCTTTTCTATCCTACTGGGACCTTCAGTGGCGAAAACAAATGATAAGAATCAAATATATTGAGTCTTTATTCAGCTTTGCCCAAGGAGCTCAGGTTGGCATAGAGAGGTTCTTGCCATTTTGCATTTCTATCAAACCTGTGAGGGAGGTTAAGTTGACACGTAGTGATTGGCTCGAGTCACCCAGTGACCTCTTCACAGACACAGGTTGTCAGACATCAGGTGATGTGTGCAGTGCACAATTAAGATCGGGACCACATCACGCATGGAGAACAGGCGTCAGCCTTTCCCCCTACATAATTTTCTCAACCTGAAACAGGGTTGCCAACCCCGGCTTGGGAGATTCCTGGAGATTTGAGGGCAGTGGCTGGGGAGGGCAGGGAAGTGAGCTCAGCGGGGATGTGATCCCGTACGCTCTGCCCTCTGAAGCTGACATTTCCTCCACGAGAACCGAGTCCACCCAAAGCAGCCATCTTTTCCAGCATCTGGTACCTGTACTCTTTTTACTGAAGATGCAAAAATTTGAACCCAAGACCTTCTCCAACAAGTTCTACCACGATGCCTTTCTCCAAATCACATCCGGATTAAAACAGATATCTGGGAGGGGGAGGGGGATGTGGAACAAGACCACTCCTCTAAAATATTCTGTTAAACTTTCTAAAAGTAGTCTTTCCACTAATTAAAGAGCAGTGTGCTGTTTCACGAAGTCTTTAAGTGTAAAGATGTCAGTCAACAGCAAGCATCCCTTCAGCTTCTTGCTCAGGGATAAAGCATTCTTTCTTGAACTTGGCAAAGAAGAGACTGTAAATATGTATGATTCAAATAGGCTCCCATTAAGCGTCTGAATACTGTCCAAACGAGCTGTCTGCATTCATTGGTTTCCTGCAGGCTCACTTATATCCTTTGAATGTTGAATCTGAAAGCTGACTTGTGTGATTTCCTAGTATTACATGTGTCAGGTTCCACGGCAAGTAACTCTTCACACACGTTTCCTAAGAAGCGTTATGCTTTATTAGTGTACAAGACTGGTACCATGTCCACAGGATTATTGTTAGGAATAACTAGAAGGCGGGAACATCCCAATACATATAGCTGGGCAAGGCAACTAGCTAAGCAAATGAACTTCGAGCGCGCGGGCGGGAAGACTCAGTTTCCTAAGAAGCGTTATGCTTTATTAGTGTACAAGACTGGTACCATGTCCACAGGATTATTGTTAGGAATAACTAGAAGGCGGGAACAACCCAATACATATAGTTGGGCAAGGCAACTAGTTAAGCAAATGAACTTTGAGCGCATGGGCGGGAATACTCCCGGCGGGAGATTACATAATGAGCGGGAAAGTCGCAGGGTTTCCTGAGAGCAGAAAGATTCACACCAAAAGTGAACCGCAAGCCCATCCCACCTCACAAGGCCAGACTGATAACGGCGTCTAGCTCCCACA